TAGTATCATCATAAACAAGGACATGACAAATAAGTATGGAAAATAAGTATGGAAGGACATTTCGTAATGTAAGTGAACCATTGTGCGGTGGTACCACCCAGTGACAACTGTGAGACAATGTGCAAAGTATCAAGCAGAACTCAAGTGATCAGTGGTAGAATACAATACTATAACAGTTGTACAGTTGGTGCAGAAAATCATTGAACCATTTTAAAGTGACCAGTAGCAGTATTTGTAGTACAAGAAATGTGCAATTGTACAGATGTCCTCGAGCGCTTTGAATTTTCTGGTGCGGTGGAGTATACATCAGTGGCTGTTTAGGGAGTTAATGGCTAGAGGGAAGGAGCTGTTTAAGTGTCTGCTGGATTTGGTGCGCATGGATCGGTCGCGCCTGCCTGAGGGGAGTAGCTGGAAAAGGTGGTGGGCAGGGGGCGGGGGATTCAGTAGGATTTTCCGTGCCCTTGTCTTGATTCTTGCAGTGTGCAAGTCCTCAAGAGTGGGTAGGGCAGATGCAATGATTTTTTTCCGCCGTCCTCACTGTCCGTTGAAGTCGGATTTTGCCTACTTCTCCCTTTCATAATTTTGCTGCTGTAAATTGGGAATTTCTCCATTGTGAGACAAATAAAGGTTTTCTTATCTCTTCTCTCATGTTCTCCCCCTGCCTGTGTGGGTTTTCTCCGGGTACTCTGGTTTCCTCCCACATTCCAAAAACCTGCATGGTCAGTTAATGGAGCACTCTAAATCAGGGGTGCCCAAACTTTTTTGACCGAAGATCTACATTTTGATCAACCAACATCCCCGACGGGTGCATACGCACGCACTTACACACGCATGCCATGATGAGCATCAGCCATAACAGCCGCAAAGATGAACAAAACAGCAAAATAAAGTACACACAAGAGTCGATGAGCTTGTGAAAAGGATATCACTGCCTACCTTAGTGGAAAACCTGACGCAGATGCATACGATGCACTTTTGCAGCCTGTTAACTATCGTAGATCACGCATATTGTTTTAAAATGCTTCTCTCGGCCGTCCAGATGCCATTCTTTGAGTGGCATCGGTGAATTGTACACGAAATGCACTTTGCCTGATAATAATAATAATAAAGGCTACATCGCAACAGCTCTAATCACAAGCCGCAATTGCAGACTGCTGAGCGCTAACAACTTCCGGTGACGCAGGTCACGCGCCACCGTATGTTAAAGGTGACCTGCTTCAGCATTCAATGGTACGAACAGTTAATTAAATTTTAGCACTGTTAGATGTCAAATTCCCATTACAGGATGATTAGGGTGACGTGTGCGTTAACACAAAACAATATTTTACTAACATGCACACACACACACACACACACACACACACACACACACACACACACACACACAAATGTTTGTTTGTTTTTTTATTTCCTCTCCACCCCTCGCAATCGACTTGGACCAGTCTGCGAGCTACAAGTTGATCATGATCGATCTTATGGGCACCCCTGCTCGAAATTGTCCCAAGGTGTGAGTGTGAGCGTGGATGGT